AGATGGTTGGTGAATGACTCTCAGTGTGACTTCAGAAAACGGCCTAGACCATCTTTTCTACCAATTTATTATTTAAAACTCAGCACAATATTAACACATGCTATAGCATGTTTGAAACTTGAAAGCATGATGTTAACTGAAAGAGACAAGACTAAGTGTTATATGAATCTATTTATGTGAAATGACCAGAACTGACAACCCTACAGAGACAGAAAATAGATAAGAGGCTGCCAGAGCTGAGGGGCTGGGAAGAGGAAGGGAGCAAGTCCTCATGGGTTCGTTTTTCCTTTGTGAGGTGATGAAAATGTCCTAAATTGATTGTGATGTTGCCTGATTCTGTGAATATACTAAAAATCATTAAGTTGTATACTTGAAATGGGTGAATTGTATAGTGTGTGAATTATATATCTATCAACAAAACTGTTATTTTAAACATTCCTCAGCAAGTCCTCTCACTGTGCCTGATCAAGGGAGAGTACAGATGCTTCCTGCTAGGAAGGAAGGTAGAGTCAGTGGCAATGAGTGTGCAGGGGTGGGGCTATTATGAGGCTGGCTTAGGAAGGGCACAGCAGATATGGAAATCAAGTTGAGTGTTGATAATTTAATGGGCCACAGAATATTTCAGAAGGAAGGATTCTGGTGAAAACGGAAACCACTTCAATGAAACCAGATTTCAGCAGAAAAGACTGAGGTTGCTTGAACAGGGTGAAGTTGTTCTTTAAACTGGTGGCTAAGTGTCATCAACTAACAGTAGGGCCCATGGTCTTGAGCCAGCTTCCAGGATTTGAACCCTAGCCTTTTGCATTAGTAGTTGCATTTGCTGTGTACAGACTCCTCAATCTCTGTCTCCTTTTTTTTTCCTACTGTAAAGCAGGGTTAAGAATAGCACAGTACCTTCCTCCTAGGACTAAATCACACCATATGTGGAGAATTTAACGCAGCGCTGTCATATGCAGCCCCTAAAGTATGTTATTGAGGAAGCATTTGGAGCCTACCTGAATCAGCTCTAAAGTTCAAGGAAGAGATAGGTGAGGGTCGAGGTGGTGGCTGGGAAATGACTACAGATTGCTTAACCTGTCAGTGAGGCTCTTACTTCCTATTTCCAGTGTCTGGGAGCCCTGCTGCTGCTGGGGCTGCTAAAGTCTGAACAAGATTTTTCTTGGCCCCTGGGGAATTAATGCAGCCGCTGAGCACCAACCTAGGCTGGGCGTCTTAGACTCTAATCAGGCCCCTTCCTTCCCACCAAGTTTCAGCTCCCACAAAGCACTGGATACAACTCTAGGAAGGGAAAGAAGAAAAGAGTTCCCATTCAGTTCTGTAGAAATTTGCTTAGCTCTGTGAAGCCATTGGTTGGGTTCTTTTATTAGATGCCAAGGTTGTGCTAAGAAACTTATGAACTCACGAATCATAATAACCCCTGGAGGTGGATATTGTTATCTGTCTGTGTGGATATTGTGTGTATGTGTGTGTGTGTGTGTGTGTGTGTGTGTGTGTGTGTAGGCATACATGTGCCACAGGCTCACGTGGACATCAGAGGACAACTTTCGGGAGTCGGTTCTCTACTTCCACTACATGGATTGTGGGGATCAAACACAGGTCATTGGGCTTGGCATCTAGCATCTTTACCTGATGAGCCATCTCTCTGGCTGTTACTTCTCTTTTTTACAGTGGAGGAAACATGGCCACATACAGGCTAATGGTGTTTTCTAAGCTACATAGCTAGTATTAAAAGCCAGGATTCTAGTTCAAGCCAACTGATTCCAAAACCCATGCTGAAATACTGCCACACCCCATGAGAAACAACAAGCTAGATTTTGTGGGGATTAAAAGCTTGGGATCAACAGAACATCCAGGAAACCTTGTATCCTTGAAACTCTACTTGGAAAACTGGCTGTTCACACAGAAAACTCATGCTGACCTGATCTCGAATTTTCTGGGCCCTACACCAGATTCTGACCAATTGTTGCCTGAGGTCCTCAGTCAGCAGTGCATATTAGAAACACCTAGTGAGCTTTTCTAAAATCATAAGCCCTAGCACCAGTCCTGACCTGAATCATAATCTCTACAGGTGGGGCATAGGTGTGTATATATTTTTAAAAGCTTCTCAGGTGACTAGGTTAAGAAATATTGCCAAAACTCGTTAACGTGACCTGGAAATTCCAATATTTTAGCATCTAATTATATCTTCCAGCCTGCCCTCTATACCTCAGTCCTTCAGAACCTGATGTTTGATTCAAAATACATGGTCATCCCTATTAAGAAATTAACCAGTTTTGGGTTCTGAGTCCCCTGCTAGCAATGAGCTACATTAACACATGGAGAAAATTCAGCACCAGCCCCTCATGTGGATCATGGGAAATTATGTTTTGTTTTTCCTGAATGTCACATGGTTAGGCTGGTGTTATGGATCAACAGTTTTCTGATCTGTGCAAGTGTTCTACATTGAGGTCAACCCAAAGATTTGGGGGGAGCAAAGTGAAGAGAATGTGATACAGCTAACCCTAAAGACTACTGTGAGTCTGGTCTGGTGGTGCAGAAGCAGGAGGATCACAAGTTAAAGGTCTGTCTGGGCTACAGAGTGAGTTCAAGGCCAACCTTGTAACTTAGCAAGACCTTATCTCATAATAAAAAGTAAAATGACATAGTATAATAATTTTGAAAAAGGCAGCTGCAGCTGGGCATGATGGTGCGTGCCTTTTGTCCCAGTACTCAGGAGGCAGAGACAGGCTGATCTCTGTGAGTTCAAAACCAGCCAGGTTTACATAGGGAGTTCTAGGCCAGCTGGGGCTACAGGAAGACCCTGTCTCAAAAAGACCAAAAAAAAAAAAAAAAAAAAAAAAAAAAGCAGCTAGGGACATAGCTCAGTAGTAGAATATTTTCCTGTCTAGAGTATAGAATTCAAGCCTTAATATCACACAAGGAATGGTCCACTGTATACAGTTATAGGAGAGGTTCACTGCCCAATGGCATCAGGCTGAGGAGCCAGTTGGGAGCAGCAGCTCAACCTGCATAACACTGACCAAGCCATGGGTCCCTGACTTGCTTTATAATATAATTTATGTGCTATGGAGGCTCTGCCCTAGAACTCCCCAGACCTGCCGATATGCTCCATTAACACAGAAAACTCAGCACCAGCCACACAGGTAATGGGAAATTATATCTGTCTTGCTCTTTCTTGGATACTTCACAATAGCTTTATAGCTTTTTGGGGTTTTTTAAAATATTTTATTTTTATTTTATGTATACGAGTGTATTCCCTGCATGTATGTGAGTACACCTGTGTCGTGTAATGCTGAAGAGGTTAGAAGAGGACTTCGGATTCCCCTGGAACTGGAGCTAAGGACAGTTTGTAGCCTCCATGTGGGTGCTGGGAATCGAACCCGGGTCCTCTGCAAGAGCAGTCAGTGCTCTTAACTGCTGAGCCATATCTCCAACCCCAGCTTTTTTTGTTTTAACATAATGACCAGGTTAGTCTGGAACTAAGTAAGCCAAGTTGACTTCAAACTCACATCAATCCTCCTGCATCAGCCTCTCAAGTGCTAGGATGACAGATGTGAGACATATCCATTCACACTGGTATTTTGATAGCTTTTAAAAAATATTTTAAAGCTGGGCATGGTGGCGCATGCCTTTAGTCCCAGCACTCGGAAGGCAGAGGCAGGTGGATCTCTGTGAGTTCAAGGCCAGCCTGGTCTACATAGTGAGTTCCAGGCCAGCTGGGGGTACAGGGAGACCCTGTCTCAAAAAGACCAAAAAAAATTCTTTTCTTTTTTTTTTTAATCTTTTTAAGACAGGGTCTCCCTGTAGCCCCAGCTGGCCTGGAACTCACTATGTAGACCAGGCTGGCCTTGAACTCACAGAGATCCGCCTGCTTCTGCCTCCCAAGAGCTGAGATTAAAGGCACGTGCCACTACACCTGACTCTTTTTAAAAAGGTTTATTTATTTAGTTTTGGTCTTTTTGATACAGGGTTTCTCTGTAGCCCCAGCTGACCTGGAACTCACTATGTAGACCAGGCTGACCTTGAACTCACAGAGATCTGCCTGCCTCTGCTTCCCAATTGCTAGAACTAAAGGCATGTGCCATCATGCCTAGCTATGATTTATTTTATTTTTAATTGTTCGTGTGTGTGTATATGTACGTATGCATGCATGTATGTATGTGCACATGGGTACAGGTACCTGCAAAGGGTAGAAGATGATATAGGATCCCCCGGAGCTACAGGTGATTGATTGTGAGCTTCCCTAAGTGGGTGCTGGAGACCAAACTCCAATCTGCTGCAAAAACAGGAAGAGTTCTTAACCACCAAGCCAGGGCTCCAGCCTCCACACTAGTTTTTGGAATCAACAGATCTTTGTGGATTTTTTTTTAAACAGTGCCTGCCTATGCAGTCTAGGCTGGTCTTGAACTCACTATGTTGTCCAGCACTGACCATGAACTTGCACCAATCCTTCCTCAGCCTCCCAGTGTGCTGGAATTGCAGGCATAAACTATTATGCCTGGCTTGGATCAGGAATTTTCCCTCACTCAAGTATTCTTGCCCAAGCAGGATCTACCAAAACCCTTCATGACACTAAGATAACATGTCACCTTCATTATTTTCTTCTTTTGTTGTCCCTCACTTCCTTCCCAAACAAGAATCACAGAGAAGCCAGAATCTTCAGAAAAATCACATTTTATTGATCACTTTATTCAAAATTATAAAAAATAGATATAAATAAAAATAGTAGAATATAATTATTAAATACTAAGTATCTAGGAGTGGTCCTTACTCCACCCAGTGAGGATTGGATGAACAAGTTTAGTAAGTCAAAAAGGATAACTGGCCAAGAAATGGGTATCTATGTAAAAATGAAATAGACATTTAGTGCTGGTCACGGATCATGCCTGAGAATGATACATTCACATGGAGCATCACATGGGAGACCCAGTGGCCCCAGAATCACAGTCCAGAGTTTAGGGAAATGCCTCGACTTACAGTTAGACACAGGAACACACCAATTCTTTCTCAGGCCTACACTCAGCTGGTGCACAGTGCATAGACACATACACATATATAATATTTCCTGATCCATCCATGGACTAACAGAGTCCTTCCTTCAAGCCGTTAGTGTCTCTACTCCACAAACCATTGTTCCCACATTGGACAAGGCCCTTCAAAAGACCTCAGTTGTTACATTTCTTAATTGGGAAATCATACATTTCCCAACATCAGGCCTCATGAATGACCCTGTTAGAGGAACTAACTGTCCTCCTACCCATCCACAGGAGACAGTTTTTAACTGCAGGAGGCTTTAGTCCAGAAAAAACAACTCCTGGTCAATATCATCCTGATTTAGGACCACCTCTTCATCCTGGTCAGGAGGGTCTGAGTGGCCAGCACCCAGGCCTGTGTCTGAGGGTAAAGCTATTATTGCTCACCTTGGTGGGCGGCACAAGCAAACAATCCCTGCAGAGCATGCCTTTCTCAGCCTCTTCCTTACAGCTGATGGAGACGATCCTACTGCAGAGATGACGGTCAGCATGGAAGTGGGTGATCCATCAGTTTCTTCCCTCAGTGCCCTGGGGGTCCTCACAGAGCTAGGCCGTTCTCTTCTCCAATGTGGGCTTCAATCCAGCGTAGGAAGTGTGAGACCCTTGTGTAGACACCAGGCTTGTTCTTCAAGGCACATCCACGACCCCAGCTCACAATCCCAGTCAGAGTTGGGCGGTCATTGGTGTCACAGATGAGAGGTCCTCCAGAGTCACCCTGAGAAGCCAAAGAGACAAGAGATAAGCTCTAAGAGAAGTGAGGAAGGAGCCACCACCCAACCACGTCTGAGAGAGCAAGGAGAGCTTCCTAGAGTCAGAGACCTTTGACGACTCCCTGTTTTCTACCATATCAAGTGCAAAATCCCCTTCTTGGCTTTCACCTACTCCCATTCCACCCACGTCCCTGGACCTGCTGCTCCTTCTCACGCTGGAACACAGTATGTTCAGTCTCAGCTTTCATTTTTTCAACTGAAACACCTTTCCCTTTTCCTTCAATCTCTTCATTTAACAAGGCACATTCTCTTCAAAACTTCCCCTCTCTCTCCTAACACTTCATCTTTTGTCACTCACATTGTACAGATCCTGAGCATTGAATTATAGAATTATATTGCTTTCACTTCATCTTAGCCAAAAGGCCCAGAAGTGATTCAAATTATACTGTTTTTTCATGGGTTTCTGTTTGTTTTGTTTTGTCTTGTTTTTGAGACAGGATCTCATGAATTCCAGGCTGATCTAAACTGATTTTGTAGCTAAGATGACCTTGTGAACTTCTGATTCTCTTACCTGACCTCCTGAGGGCTACAATTGTAGGTATGGCTCATCACACACAGAGCTGGGGATGATACCCAGGGCTTCATGCATGCCAGACAAGCATTCCAAAAACTGAGCTACATCCCCAGACCATTTTGTTTTCCTATGGTCTCTATCTCCCACCCTCATATTGAGGACTGAACTCAGGACTTTGTGCAGACTAGGCAAGCACCGTATCACCAAACTAGGTACCCAGCCCTGCTTCCCTCTTTTCCTCTTTCTTTTTTGAGACAGGATCTTGCTATCTAGCTCAGGCCCTGAATTCACTATGTAGCCTGGGCTAGCTTTCAACTCATGATTCTCCTGCTTCAGCCTCCCAAATGCCAGGAGTGCACCACGCCTGATGGTTTGAGGCCCCCTCAATCTAAAGCACTTAGCACAGAGCTGGGCTCATTCCAAATGTTTGAACATCTAAGGACTGGAAGAAACTCCGAGACCCACTCCTTGATTCTTAGGGCTATGGCTGGAAAGGGACTCCCCCAAGCTGGCAGGGCAGATCCAGAAGTTCTGAAGAGTTTGGGATGATTAAAAGAAAGGCCCAGGACTCTCACCTGGCAGGAATCTGTTTCCCACTGTGGGTCAGCAGCACACAGCATTTTGTAGGTGACTTCAGAGCCATAGTAGTGGGGTTGCTTACATTCCTGATGGGAAATAAGCTTCACAACAGACATTTTCAGGTCTTTTGGATAGATGTAGTCAGCTAGATGGAGAAAATGGAGAGACATTTACATTAAGATGTGTCTATACAGAGACTGTCTGAAAGGGTGGAGACCAAAGCAAATGTGTTGACTAGGGAAAGTCCTTATTTTTTCTTCACCCCAATTGGAGACTTTACCCAGTCATAACTGCTTATCCTCTAGTCACCTTGATTGCCTATCACTTCCTATGCTTCTCTGGACCTTTCTGCCACCTGACTAGTACTCCAATCTCTATCTCCAGTCTTCCTTGACAGTCTGCTGTACAATGCTCCCCACCAGGATCCCCTCAGTCAGCTTCAAATGTCACTTACTGGCATTCTCTTTTCCAAAGCCGGTGATCTCACAGCTTGAACCAAAATTGGCATCACCAAACCTTGGAGGCAAGCAGATGGTCTGTATGGACCGGGATGGCTGTGCACAATGGCCCATGCTGGTGCGGATCTTCAGCAAGGCTGGAGGAAGTAAAGACAGTCAAAAGGGAAAGATCATCACCTACCAGGTCAGATAGTCACTGTCTCTTCCCTCTAAATTCTGAAGCACTGTCTATGTCTATACCTAAGTCAGTTAGCATCATAGGTTATCTAAGGAGATCAGCAGGAACCTTGTCATCTAGAAACCTCCCTGGCGCATTCTCCAAGGGCTTTGTTCCAGCTGCTGACAAAACTCAGGCAGTCAAAGCTGCCACATACAACTGAACAGGTTGTTTCCTGCAAAAAGCTCCTGCTGTGAGAGCTAAGCCTGAAATTCAGCCAAGGCTTTATTCACTCTGCATATTCTATATCCTGATACAAACAGATGCTGCACCCATCCTTCTTTGCATAAACAGGGCATTCCCAACCTATGCCATATGCCAATAGAGCTATTTCCACTCAGGTGAAGCCACCTTTTTGGGAAATCCGAGGTCTCTCCCAAGGAGCACCAAGCCCCTCTGAATGCTTCCCCACCATTCACTTGGTTGTGAAAGGTCAGGGCTTCCAGTTCCCCCAATGGCTTTCACTTCTACTTGGGTCCCTCCACCTCCCCATTGCTGCCCATCATGTTTCTTGTGGCTGAGGGTTTTCTATTTACCAATATCATTATGGTGGGCCAGGCTGTCAGCGCTGTAATCCTCATGCAAGATGAGCTGTTCTACCTCGAACTTCATCTCTCCAGGAGTATAGGAGTTCCGCTTTGACTGACCCAGGTAGACAACATAGTCTTCCTTCCGTGGGTAATTACTGTGGGAATTGAGACATGTCGATAGCCTGATCTCGAAAGTCTCTTCCCCCTCATAAAGGCCTGAAAGTAGGACTTGTTCCCAAAGTCACAGGCTGCATGGAGAGAGGCTGACAGGGAGAATTGGAGTCCTCCACAGGGAGGTATGGGGTAGGGCAGGAGGGTCAGAAAGAAAAGACAGAAGGACGTACATGAAGCAATGTGTGGCGCTGACCACCCAGCAAGGACTGATGAGGCTGCCCCCACATAAAAAGGAGGGAGGGCTTTCTCCCTGATTCTTCTTGTAGATGGCTGCAAACCAGGGCTGGTTCTCGATAATGGTGAATTCTCCACCAACAATCTTAAAACGGGGCCTCAAAGCCTTCTGACCACACTGGAACCCTTGTTGATCCAGAGGAGAAGAGGGCCTTTTTGCTGGAGGAGAAAGAGATGTTTTGGGGAAGAAGAAAGGATGAAGAATCCTACTGAGATAGGATTCACTTCTTATCCCTCCTGTGATGGAAGAAGGAGACATGAGTTTGTCTCCTTCCACCCCACTGTCATAAGCAGTCAGTGACACTCACCCACAGAGCAGTCATATACCATGCACTCATGGGCATACTGCTTTAGACCAATCTGCACATAACACCAGGGTCGCTTCCGGTTGTCAGGGTTCCTGGTAACAGGAAGGGATAAGGAGATGTCATTCCAACCCAGAATGCCTTCTCTGCATCCCTCTTCCAGGGAACATTCAACAGAGACCTAGATTTTCTTCTGTTAATGACAGCACTCTAGGAGCAGAAGAGGATGGTAACATGGGTTTCCAAGAGGCCATAGGGAGGATTCCTGATAACTGTTTTCCACCTTACCTACAGTAATTGTGCTTCCCCAGGCCCAAGTAAAGAGCATCAGATCTGTGGGCATGGTAGGTTTTCTGAAGGACAGTAGGAGAGTTCCAGGCCAGACAAGGCCGGCCTTTGGTGTCCGTGTTGGCCTTTCCTCGGTAAGACTGACCATTCCCTTCATAGCAGGTTTTTGATGTATCTACAGATTATTTAAGGATTAAAGAAGATTAGAAAAAGGAGGGAATTCAGACAGGCATTTCAAAGGTGACATGGTTTGGTAGGTGACACTAGGAAAGAGTCCCCTTCACATGTGTGTAGTTGCTGCTTCATGAGACTGCAAGTGTGTGTGTGTGTGTGTGTGTGTGTGTGTGTGTGTGTGTATGACTATGTATGTATGTGTTTGGCTGTGCATAATTCCTAACTTCTGCCTACTCTTTTTTCTTTCCAGACAAAGGCGCACCTTGCAGCCCAGGCTAGCCCAGGTTAGATCATGCTTGAACTTACCATCCTCCTGCTTCAGACTCCCAAGTTGATTTGGCATCCTACCCGTCTTTCCCTGTTCTGAAATCTCTGCGCCACACCCCCTTCCCAGTTAGAAGCCGAGATCCTCTTACCTATTTCACAGTGCTCCCCTTGGAACCGCTTTGGGCAGCTGCATCGACGAATGTTGGAGAAATATTTGTAGGACACACATATTCCTCCGTTCTGACAGCCACAGTTTGCTAGAGGATACAAAGGTGGACTAAGCAAGGAACATGGGAGGAGGCAAGGGGGCGGCCAGCCTCCCAGCAGGCACAGGAGGGGATGCCTCCTAAGCCTTTCCAAGATGTCTGTGTAGAGAACTATTGTGCAACGGCTGGATACTCACATTCACCCGATGCTCCAAGTTCATAGCTGCCCTGCAAGAGATGAAGGTGGGGGGTCACCAAAGGAGATGTGCTCTAGGGACTCCATGTGGAAGAAAAACAAGCCCCACCTCATCCACTTTTCTTCCTCCCCGCTCTTTTATCTAAGCCACCTCTCCAAAGGAAGACCATGGGCCACGAGTTTCCAGCTCCTAGAGACGGATTGACACAAGCAAGCCCCACACATACCAGACGCCCTGGGGCTAAGGCCATCCCAGCGGCTGCTTCCTCCCTTGCCAGACCATGCCAACCCCCTTGGAGCTCAAGCTGCCCACTAACACCCGTGTCCTATTTCTCCGTGAAAGCGTCTGGACCTGCTTCTGATGCCTGAGGACTCCGTGCAGCCCCTCCTTTCCACTAATACTGGTCCCCCTTCCCGCCGACAGTTAAAGTAGGGAAACCACTCACTTCCGAGTCCCTCACAGCCAGGGCGCAGAGGAGCAGGGACACCAGCCAGACTTTCATGGTAGCGGGGTTGGGCTCTAGACAGCAGCTCTGCAAGGGAATTAGTCAGTGGGTCACTGCAGTTCAAGGGAAGAAGCACTAAGTCCCCGTAGGGCGAGCAGCAGTGACCGAGCTCCCCAGGCCGGGCCACCTCTCTCCTCTGCGGGCTCTGGGTGCAGGCTGGACCTGCACCGCAGAGGGACGCAGAGCCCTGGAACAGCCAGTGTGCTGGAGGCTGGAGCCCGGGCCGCGCATCCCTGTGGGAGTTTTCAGACTAGCAGCACTCACCGGCGGTGACTGCAGCGGAAGGGCGCGGGCGGACCGGTGAGGAGAGGATGAGACAGCCGGGCTCCGAGGCTGCAGTCTCCGCTCTGTGCTGCCGGCGGCCGGGACCGCCCTATATCAGGACTCGCCCCGGCCCTGGCCCCGCCCCGGCTCGGCTGCGGTCTGCACTCTCTTCCTTTCCTCCCTGCGGCCCAGCGCCTGGACCGCGGTGGCCTCCCCCACTTGACAGAGTAGCTGGCGACGCGATCCCCAGCCGAGCAGACGCACGCAGCCGGGGGATCGAGAGGCGTGTACATTCTTCACTCCTGGTTTCATCCACCCGGTCCTGGTGCATGCCCCAGGGCCGAGTGGAGAGGACGCTCCTGACACTGGCTCTCCACTCCTGACCCTTCCTCTGCAGTGGCCTTATCCGTTCTTCTCCAACTTGCCCATCCTAGACCCCTATCTGTCTGGGACACTGATTCAGATGCCTGATAGAGGGGCATACTTTGTAGCAAACTTTATAGTCTATGGATGAGAAAATTGTCCCGAACGTATATCTGATCCCTAAAACACAAACCTGAAAATACCTGTCCATTTGTGGAATACTAGCTCCCAATGTCACCAACACGGCCAATGGATAAGAAGACAAACGGGGGTTTACTGCTCACTGTAGTAAGGGAAGTTAATTGTGTCATCAGAAGGGAAAAGGCAAGGTCAATTTTTTTTTCAGATTTTCTGCTTGGTTTAAGGTCGGTTAAGGGGGCTTTAGAAATCACGGTAAGTACCTGATGTGTTGGGGCTCACCTTTAATCACAGCAGAGACAGGCAGATCTCTATGAGTCTGAGGCCAGCCTGGTCTGCACCGGGAGTTCCAGACCACCCAGGACTACGTGGTGAGTTCCTGTCTCAAAAATAAAAATAAATAAATCATAATAAAAACTTGTTAAAGGTCATGATGTTATAGTATTGTGGAAGCAAAGTCTTAGGGATATAAATTGTTGATGCTTTTTACTGAAATGTGGATGGGTCTTTTGAGAAATTCCTACAGTGAACAATCCATTGATTTGTCTGGGAAATAATACAATCTAAATAAAGGTAGCAGAACCAGACTGGGTGCACACCTCAGTGGTACAGTGATTGTCTGGTATACACAAAATCCTGGATTCAGTCCTCAGCATCACAAACAAACAAGCAAACAAAGCAAAACAAATAAAGAAAAGTCTTATTAATGTAAACAGTAAACTGTGACAGGATAGGAAAAGCAATGGTGTAGTTGACCCTTATTAATGTGGGCTGTAAGCTGTGGAGGGCTAGGAGAGTCGGCTCTCTCCTCATAGCAGAGGAACTGTGAGTCTGGAGGACAAATGAAAAGAGTATTTCTGGGGCTGGAGAGATGGCTCAGCAGTTAAGAGTACTGGCTGTTCTTGCAGAAGACCAGGGTTTGAATCCCAGCACTCACCTGGCGGTTAACAACCATCCATAACTCCAGTTCCAGGGGATCTGATGTCCTCTTCTGCTCTTTTCGGGCATTGCATGACACAGGTACTCTTACATACTTGCAGGCAACATTCATATACATAAAATAAAAAATAATGAATACTTTTTTTTTGTCTTTTTGAGACAGGGTCTCCCTGTAGCCCCAGCTGTCCTGGAACTCACTATGTAGACCAGGCTGGCCTCGAACTCACAAAGATCCGCCTGCCTCTGCCTCCCGAGTTCTGGGACTAAAGGTTTGTGCCACCATACCCGGCTGAATACTTTTTTTTTTTTTTTTTTTTTTTAAAGAAAGGAATATTTCTTTTTTACTCCATGTCATTTTACACTTTGGTTTTGGTAGTTTTGTTTTGATTTTTTTTTTTGAGGGGGTGGGAAAAAGGGTTTCCCAGTATCCTCTGCTGGCCTGGAAGTTGCTATGTAGATCAGGCTAATCTCAGGCTCACAGAGATCCCCCTGCCTCTGCCTCCCGAGTGCTGGGATTAAAGGCCTGCACCACTACCCCCAGCTATTTTACACTATTTAAAAAACTTGAAGCACATCCCTGTGTTACCTACTCCCAAAAGATAATTACATATTTAAAATGCACTTATATTTTGAAATCTACTTCATCATAGGATATCATTTATATAATATATAAAACAATTGTTTAAAGATAAAATTGGCCTTCAGAAAGCTACACCGTAAGTAAATGGCTCTTGCATTTCTTGAGGACAGACACATACATTGCACATGCACACACACACACATTCCTCAGACACAGTTGAAAGTGCGCAAAAAGGACTCCGTGGCTCAGTTGCCTCCACATCTTCCCTGGTGTCAGGAACAAGTGATTGTGGTCATTTTGATGCCACTCAGCAGAACTGGCTCCCTTTATAATAGAGAGAGTCTTTATAACTCATTCCGGCCCAAACCTTGGTTTCTTTCCCTAAGCCTAAACCTACAACATTATACTACTTTACAAACCTGGACCTTGGGTCTGGGTCAGCATGTGGGAGAGGCTAAAGGAAAGTAGAGAGAGCGTCAGGATATAGGAATGAGGGAAGGCCCTTTTGCTCCACCTCAACCAGAGGTCCCAGAATGCCAGACTCTGGATGGGGAAAGTGCACATTAACGATCCAGCTTTGAAGAGGCAGGTGGCCATCAACCTCCAGAGTTAGTTTTCCTGTGGTCCATGGGACCACTGAGTCAGAGGTTCCATAGATCTCAGAGCCAACTCACTACTTCCTCTAGAAGACTGTGGCTAGTTTTGTTTAGATTTAAAAAACCTTTAATAGTAAATAAATTTGATCAAAATGTAAACAGAGATATTACAGCCTCAGGACTTGCCCCGAAACTCTAAGTTAGTTACTAGGAAATTCCCATCAGGCTGTTGTGATTCATGTTGCTCCCCTAAAAGCTCTCATGACTCCGAATTACTTGGCTGGAGGCTGTCATGCTGATTCTTTGAGAGCAGGATGACCTCATTTCCTCCTGGTCAGAGACCGTTATGCAGCCTGACACCCCTCTTCCTCTTTCACCTACCACTTCTTCACTTGGGTGACCGATCCTAGCACCTCCAACTCTTCATCGAACTGCTCTTTCCACTTGCTAATCTTCAGAGTTCTCTGAAATCTCTGGTTATTTTTTTGGTGCTGACTGTGCTAGAATTTCAGTTTTATGGGGGCAAAGAACACATCTTAGATTCTCCTCCTCAGCACTTGGTACATGTCTTATTCACCAAGATCCTTTATTGTGAATGAATCAGTGAATGCATAGAACAGAGTGCTTTAGGGCCCCCTGGAAGCGTCTTTCTCTCTCTCTCTCTCTCTCTCTCTCTTTCTCTCTCTAGCCTGCTCCCTTTTTCATCATAATAGTATTAGCTTATATTATTTTTTGTTTAGCATTTTTGCCTTGTGCTTAAAGACATTTTCAGATAAATCATCCCTCTTTAAACTCAGAACTGCCTTGTGACATAGACTGGGTCTGCTATTCTAATTCTGCAGATAAAGAAAGTAAGACAGGCCCGGTGGGGTGGCACAGGCCTATAGTCCCAGCAGATCTCTGTGAGTTCAAGGCCAGCCTGGTCTACATAATAAGTCCAGCCCAGTCCTCACTACAGGGAGACGCTGTCTCGAAAACACCAAAAAAAGAAAAGAAAAAGGAAGGAAGGAAGAAAGGGAGGGAGGGAGGGAGGGAGGAAGGAAGGAAGGAAGGAAGAGAAAGATGGTACATAGTTGATGAATGACAGTCAGCAAGTCAGCACTAAGACCCAGGTCTTCTCTAACTTGTTCCTGTGCTCTGTATCTCATAAAGAGGCAGAGTACTGTGAAGAGAAGTACCAGATACCAGTGATTTAAGACATTCAGGCAGGGACTAGAGAGATGGTTCAGCAGTTAAGAACACATTCTGTTCTTGCAGATGACCTGAAATAGACTCCCAGGACCCACATCAGGCAGATCTCAACTGTCTGTAACTCCAGCTCTAGAGGACCTGACACTTCTGCCTTCCCAGGGCACCTGCACACACGTGCACACACCACCATACAGACATACATCCATACACATAGTGAAAAACGTTTTAAAAAAGAGGTTCACTGGGGCTGGAGAGATGGCTCAGTGGTTAAAAGCACTAACCACTCTTGCAGAGGACCCAGGTTCGGGTCCCAGCACCCACCATGGAACAGAACTGTTCGTAACTCCAGTTCCAGGGCATCTGACACTCTCTTCTGACCTATGTGGGCATTGCAAGGTGCAGGTGCACTTACATACAGGCAGGCCATACACTCATACACATAAAATAAAAATAATAAGCTGGGCATGGTGGCGTACGCCTTTAATCCCAGCACTTGGGAGGCAGAGGCAGGCGGATCTCTGTGAGTTCAAGGCCAGCCTGGTCTACATAGTGAGTTCCAGGCCAACTGGGGCTACAGAGACCCTGTCTCAAAAGGACCAGTAAATAAATAAATAAATAAACAAACAAACAAATAAATAAATAAATATCTTAAAAGAGACGTTCAGGCAGGTGCAAAATGTTAAAATCACTAGTTCTTTAGGACACCTGCTCTGTAATGCAAGTTAGTTGCTTGCCAGAATTCCAGGAACTTACTTTGTAATCTAGACCATCTGAGAGAGTAAGAAATGAGGAAGTAAATGTATATGATTTCATTCTTCTCTTGAATCTGAGAGGAAATCAACCAGCTTCTGCCTTTGTGTCTCAGGGGTCCAGACCTCCTGAATTAGCTATGGCAACACAGACTAGTGGAGGGACCCTTTTGTAGGGGCTGTTTATAAAAGGGCCAGCAGATGCAGGTGTACGGGTGTACAGTGAGCAAAGAATCTCAACCTAGCCTGAGCTTTGGTTTTGGTTTTGGTTTTTGAGAGCATCTCATGTAGCTCAGGCTGGCCTCAAACTCAACTCCAGTCTGCCCCTCCCAAGTACTAGGACTCCAAGTCTAAGCCACCATGCCCAGCCCTAAAAGGAAGACTATTTTTTGACCATCCGGGTCCAGAAGGAAGTTCACATTGAGTCATAAGATGTATTCCTGGGTTGCTATACTAAGAATGTTCAGCATTGTACTGTAGTTGAATGATTTCAGACAAATCACTTAACTCTTTTGATTTCCGCTCTTCCAGCAGCATCTAGCCTCCTATCCGTGCTTTATTTTGCAGATTGAATAGGGTCATGCTTATGTGTGAAAAGTGT